CCCCAAAACCCCAAAACCCCAAAACCCCATCACATCAGGATATAGATATGTTTGATATCTTTAAATAAATTAGATTTAGATAAGTTTTACTGGTTGACTACCTTTCAACCAAGTAAAAGTCTTCTGAATTCGTTATCAATTTCCTCGTTTAAGTTGGTGAAGTACTTCATCATCTCTTCTTGTGGGATCTTGGGATCCTTGAATTTCATTTGTGATAGTTCAAGAAGTTGCTTCTCAATTGAATTGTTGATAACAGCCCATGAAATCTTCTTCTCGCTCTTGATTGACTCATTGATTGCTCTCTTTGAGTTTTCGAAGAACTTAACAATAGCTTTCATCATTCCGACAGTCTTGTATAGTGGGCAGTTGTAATCATAGTCAGAGAAGGCGTTTTGTTGCAAGAAATCTTCTCTAATAATCTTGGCCATTTCAAGAACTGCTTTTTGATCTTCAGAAAGAGAGTCTTTACCGACCAATTGCACGATTTCAGTAAGATCCTCTTCTTCTTATAGGATTTCTCTGATCTTGGTCTTGACCTTCATGAATTCTGGATCGTATTGGTTATAATATTCCTCAAGAATTCTGTCGTAGTTAGAATAGGAAATTGACCAGTTGAGGGATGGGAAATGCTTTCTTTGAGCGAGTTTCTTATCTAAACCCCAGAAGACCTGCACGATAGCAAGGGTTGATGAGGTAACTGGATCTGAGAAATCACCACCTGGTGGTGAGACGGCTCCGACGATTGAAACTGATCCCTCTCTGTCTGGTGAACCAAGACATCTTACTCTACCAGCTCTTTCGTAGAATTAAGCCAATTTAGCTCCAAGATAAGCAGGGTAACCAGAATCAGCTGGCATTTCAGCAAGACGACCTGAGATTTCTCTCAAGGCTTCAGCCCAACGTGAGGTGGAGTCTGCCATCATAGATACGTTGAATCCCATATCTCTGAAGTACTCAGCAAGAGTAATACCAGTATAAATTGAGGCTTCTCTAGCAGCGACTGGCATGTTTGAGGTGTTGGCGACCAAGCATGTTCTCTACATGATATCGTATTTCTTTCCATTGATATCAATTTGAAGCTCTGGGAATTCCTAGAGTACCTCAGCCATCTCGTTTCCTCTCTCACCACATCCGACGTAGATAATACATTCTGAGTTAGAATACTTGGAAAGAGCCTGAGAAATACAAGTTTTACCGCAACCGAAAGCACCTGGAATAGCGCAAGTACCGCCTTGCACAGTTGGGAAAAGAGCATCAAGAACTCTTTGACCAGTAAGAAGTGGGGTTTTACCGGCGAGCTTTTCAGCGACTGGTCTTGGCTGTCTGACGGGCCAGAAGTGACTCATATTAATTTCCTTTTATTTATCTTCGAATTCAACGACAATGACTGGTTGTGACACGGTATACATACCCTTTGGCATGATTTCTCTAATTCTACCATAGGTCTTTGGTGGAAGCATGATTCTGTGCTCACTAAACAAGTCATTTTCGAAGACTGATCCAATAACATCACCTCCAGTAATGAGATCACCGACCTTCCATTTGTGGTTGGGGGTGAACTCCCACTCCTTAACTTGATCAAGGGATGGTACATCAACACCTCTCGGCACGAAGACACTTTGGGAGTTCTTGGCAATAGTCTCTAAAGGTCTTTGAATACCGTCGAATATAGTCTTCAAGATACCTATATTAATAATTACTTAATACCAAGGAAGATACCTGGACCGAGTTCGACTGATAGAGGGTTTCCAGTTCTGTAGACGGGGTCTCCAATTGTTAAACCAGCTATAGTTAGATGAGTAAAGAGGCAGAATGAGCTTACAAGTATCCTCATAGCATTAAATAGAAGCAGTATCTCCTTCAAGCTTAATGATCTCTCCAACGAGTTTATCCCATCCTACCTTCACGAGCTCGTACATCTTTGATCCTGACATTTTCTCGGCGACAACCACTGTTTAAAAAGGTTAGATTGTGATAGATAAGTACATGGTCCGGCCACTTTATAAATTCTTCCGTATTTGCTCTCTGGCTGATCGTAGTCCTCCATCCTTGGATATATCTTCCTTTAATTAATAATAATACAATTAAGTATATCTCACTATTGTTATTAAACACATAATTCTTATTAATATATCATGCTTTTATTTGCAGCTCGGGGTTTTGGGGTTTTGGGGAGATCGGAAGAGCACACGTCTGA